TATTAGATTATTAGAAAAGACAGTGTGAGAAATTAAGTATTAATAAAAATATACCATACCAATTTTAACAGAAATGCATATGATAATGCCAAATACTCATTTGCATATGAGCACTAGTAGGTAGGCCAGTCAGTCCCTTTCCAGACCATCCATGCCCATGGGGAATGGGGGCAAGGGCCAACACTTTTCTTGACCATCCAACAATAGAGGTGATGAGGTCAGCATCACACTCAGCCAGCCTGTTACCCCCAGAAGGATTAACCCCCAGTACTCTAGTGGAAAGCAGGCAGAGTGGACCTGGGAGCCATCCGGAAGGAATGAGAGCTACATCACTTGCCCCTACCTGGGACTGAACCCAGGACCTTCCGGTCAGGAGCTGGACACCCTTGCCTCTGAGCTACCACAGCTCCATGGGTGCTAATAGTGTCGCATTAATCAAAGCATGGTTGTAGGGGTGTACATAGAAGTTGGTGAGTGTGTCATTGATGATGTGGATCGAGGAAATCGAGGCAAAAGCACAATGTTATACAGATACAAATACAACACCACATCTCCTTTTAAGGAGAGCAACAGTATCCCAAATGTAGCCCCCTGTTGAATGCCATTTAGCTGTGACATGAAAGAATGGAATAATTTATATAAATATAATATTGTAAACTTAAACTTCTGTTAGGTCTGCTCTGTACTGTGTTGCATTTTGGGAATCGACAACTAATCTAATAAGAACCATTGGTACTTTCAGTAAATGTCTTTTTTTACATGTCACATTCTTGAATGGGTTATTTAAAATTTAAATATTTTATTAAGTATTTGTGTCTGCTAGGATGTATCAAACAGTCGGTTTTTAGTTGCAATGTGCGCTCTACTGTGATACATGTTAATTGAAAATAATTACAGTCCAACAATTATGTAACTCTAAAAGATACAATTGAGTTCTCTTGTTTCCATAACTCTAATCAGGTTTCCATGGAAACCTCCAGAATCTCAGGGAAAATGAAGGAGGGGGGAGATATCTCCAAGGTAATGTATATTCTTCAGTTTCACCAGGAACCATCCTTAAAGTGAAGCTCCATTTTCACTGAAAGAAAAGGTCTTTTTGGTTTTTATCCTCTTTAAAAACCATTTGTCATTCCCGCCTTACCTTTTATCCTGAGTGTTGTAATGTACAAATGTGCCTTTTGGTTTGGATGACATTGGTTTGTAATCCCGCGAGTTAGCATCTTTCATCAGTGGATATACAAATATCCCAAAAAAACCTGCCATTCCTCTGCATTGTGCTCACCTCAGCATCTCTTCAGTATGAATCCACCCCCAGCAGTACTGATCCATCTTTCTTCCCATTGCAACATTTTCCATCTCACTCACTGACTTCCTTCCCTGATCCTTGCAAATATCTACATCTGATCATAAATTCTCTTTCGTTTTTAAGACTCTTACTTTAAAGCATCTTATTTTAATATGGTTTTTGCATTATTCCCCTGCATGAAGGGTCCCATAAACAAGAACAAATCACATCATATTTTGTTTGGGGTTGTTTGGTAGTGAAATCATTCTTGGTCCCTTCAACAAATTGTAGATTAAATCATAAAGCGATATTTTATCTCAAAGTGCCTAGATGGCAGATGTCCAAAACTGCTGAATTTGTCAAAATGTTAAGACTTGTACAGCAACAGGAATATATAGTCATTTTCAGGACTTTGAGTGCTGCAATTCTGATGACCTAATAATAACTGAGTTGTTTTTTTGTCAGTCTTAAGTTTGCTCCCTTAAGGCAGTGCTGATCCCTCATTCATGATAACATGGAGACAAAAGAAGCCCACTTGGAGAGCACATCAATGATAATACCAAAATGTCTTATGGTGGAAATATCAGGTCCATTTGTTTTAAAAAAATATCAAAAACATATGACCCACACCCTACCCCCTGACAGCTATATTCAATCAGCTCCACTAAGATTTTTAATCAGTTTCATCACATGCAACTCCAATGAATCTGTGACAGTTCTGCACCAACACTTGTTTGAATCCAGTCAAGGACACAGTCTGAATCGAAAGTACAGTATCTGTTTTCTTTCTGATGAAAATTGCATAAGACAAAATATAGCATGGACAATGATTTTATATGAATAAAACACATAGTACCTTATTTCATTTTATTTTATAAACGAATTAACTAGCTTTTTAGGTACTTTCAGGTTCTCATAGAAAGGTTTTTTTATCTAACATGAATTGGTGAAGTTTAAGCCTTTTATGCTACATCCCAATGTAATATATCCAATTCACCAATTGCAATGCACATGAAAAGAATGACCCAAAAATAATAAGTTAATTCACACCCCAGAAATGTATCAGTGACCATGTTGGAATATTCTACTGGCTAGATTCTAGTGATATCTGTAAAATTAGGAAGACAAGGTTAGTTTTGCAAGTTAGTGCTGGTAAACAGATACTCTGGTTAACGGATGTACAGTATACAGTTTAGGTCTTAGCATCCTTCTGGTGTTGCGTTTGCAGCTACGCACAAGGATGCTGGTAATAATTTACAAATTAGATGGTGCACCATTTACTCCATCTGTCACTTTGCACATGTTGCCTTGAGCAGTATCTTGCCAAGGTTTCCATATGGACCAAACAGAAGCTGGAAACAAAAGTGGGAATCAAACTCTTAGAAACTTTGGCAATTACAGGCTGTATAGAATGATAAAAACCAGAAGACTGCAAAGCAGACGACACCAAATGATGGGTCTTTTGTCCTGGCTTTTTCTTTGTCAGCCTGTTACTCTTTCCTTAAACCATTCTAACCTGCAGCAGATGGTTGCTGACTATTCGTATGTATTTATTTGAAAACAGTATTGAGGTATCAGGTTCTGTTGTCTGTCGTGATTGGAACTTTCACATCGAAGTGTCCCAGAAGCTCTGCACAGAGGTGAAGTTTCATAGAAAGTTAAATTCCAGCGACATATTGGAAATGGCACTGCCTTCAAATGCCGTGACAAATGTAAATTGCTTTTTATTCTGTAGCTAAAGCATAAACTGCATTTGAGATAGTCATTTTTTTTCCATGCTGCTTCTTAAAGTAAACTGCGATAAAATGTTCTTGTATTGTTCACACACAAGCAGATAATACAATCGGTGAGGAAGAGAGCATTCTCAAATGTTTTAGCTCATTGTAATAAGAGAGGTTTGCCTGGAGCTGACTGGCTTTTCTCCAGCTGTAAACCACTAGACTGCAACATACTGACAGCATATGAGAGAACAACCTACAAGCCCCTTTAGTTAGTCTCATTGCATTTGGCAGTCTGTGCATGCTGAAGGTCGATATCTCATTGGAATGAATTTAAACATTGTAAGTCTTAATGTTTTTTTTTACTTTATAAGAGAAAAATATTGAACAGAACACAATCAGTTCTTACTATAGGTTAGAACTTGCTGCATAGTAGAGTACATTTAATAATTTACAGAACAGGACCAAGCACAGCAGTGAATTAAAACTTACGTTTACACATTGTAACAGGATGGTCAGAGGTTCTGGCTAGAGGACCTACTGTATGCACTGAACTTTAGGTCTGCAGAGCCAAGCTTAGGGAGAAGGATAGTATCTGGTTTGTCAGCATCATACTGTACGTACTATAGCAGGGACTTATGTAAGAGGCAGAACAGAGCCGAACACTAGAGCTGCAGCCTCATACACTCATACACGATAGTTTAACCCTGGCAGAAAGGGAAACTGGGTGGGTACTGACGTCAGAAAACTGTCGTGGGTTTTTCTTACCTTTCTTTGCTTGTCATGCCCTGGAATTTGAACCTAGCTTTCTTACAGGCCAAAATAATAGCCAGAGGACAACATCAGAACTGCTTAATATTATAACTGGAGGGATCTGCATGAATTCAATTCTATGTAACAGTATCCTGCTAGATTTGAATGACCCTGTACAATGTAATGTAGAAATGCAATGAAATAGGAAATGATGGCTTTCCTATGGATGGATTGAAGGCATACAGTAGTGCAGGAACATAGAACACACCTTTGCATTGCTATAAAGAAGAGGAATCTTGAAACTACAATCTCTAATGTATGATCATTCCCTCAGGTAGAGATTTAATTTGTTGTGCCCCCAATTACAGTTTCCTTGCTTTGCTATGAAAATTGTATATCACTCAATACCTACAAGGGTTTCTTGAAATGGATGCACCTATAATATATAATTCTGAATGAATTCCTCTTTACTCAGACACATTCATGGACCCTTTCTTTCTGATACCAAGATGTCTGCCTTTTTGGGGGACGCGTTGTTTGTGCATTGATTGATGTGATGTCCCTCTGGACATACTGTAAAAGTACAAGTACTGTATACAGCCATTGAAGACTCCATTGTATATATTTGCTTGTAACTGAAGGAGATTGATCTTATAAATGATAAATAAAAGCAAGTTATGAAGCAAAACAAAAAATGGAAAGATCATTTAGAATTCAGGATTATTAACAAGCATGAGAGGGATAACCCTTATGTGAATTTTAGTAGCTTTAAAATACACTTAGTTAATAGCATAAAGGCCAGAGTATGTGATGTTGAATGGAGTTCTATTCAGTCCCATCATCTACTAAGAAGTCGATCTGTATTTTGTATCCAACAAACTGAGTGGGACATAATAATTAAAAACGGAAAATAAGAGGCCTAAAGAAATTCACATGAAACATTAATTCATCGATCTCTCTTAACGGTGATAAAGCCTGTAAAGCTAATTTTTAGATGCATCTACACTTTGTGCACTCCCTTGTTCTCACCCTGTACAAAATATTTAAAAAGTATCTTACTCAGATCTTACTTTTTGTGTTCGCCCATATACTCTGATATTCAGAGTATATTAAAACTTGGTGTCTAACCTTCATAGATAGAAATTGGGATTTGGGTCCAGGAGTATCAACTGATGTTTTTTACCAAACAATACCTTAAAGTCACTCTCCTTTCATTCTGAACTGTGTCATGTCCTTTTATGGTCTTTTGATGTGAGAGCTGGTGATTGTAGTTTTTTAGAGTCATCGTGCATTTCCATGCTTCACTTCAGGACATTCCTGGCAGACTGCTTCCAGCGTAGCTGCCAGATTCTGAGACAAATGAGTTTAAATGACACCTACTCTGTAGTTTAACAGCACCATCCCTCCTGTGTTTCCCCATCTCTCTCTCCCCAGGTGTCCATTGAAGAGCGTCTCAAACAGCTGCATGAAGCCCACAGGGACTTTGGCCCAACATCACAGCACTTCCTCTCCAGTAAGTTGCCATAGTAATGACATTATGCTAAACCCCTCCCACCAAGTGGAATGTGGTCACCAGTCTGGGCAAGAGGCAGGAGACAAGAAGATGCCACTGCCCCCCTTTGTTTTCTCTGTCTTTGAAATTCCTCTGAGGATAAGTAAGGTGATTGAGATGGGATGAGCTGATAAACTGTACAATGCTGTCTTCAGAGGAAAGATTTGTGAATGGTGGCTGAGCGAATCTTTATCTGGCAGTGGAAAAGTTGGTCTGCATTGTAAGTCGACTTCAGGACGAGGCGCAGGCTGTTTTAGAGTCTGCACTCTTTCTCATTATCTTATTGGCTCGCCAGTTAACGTGTGCGGCATCACTTGCAACTATCTGTCTAGCAGGATAACACAGCTTCGGATCCAATACCGGAAACTCCAAAGGGACCTGATGAAAACCTGCATTAAATAAAAAACACCTTTTTTTTTGTCTAATGTAAGAGATGTCCTCCATTTCATTTCCTGTAAGTGGTGATGTGGATTTCTGTTCAGCTCTGTTCTGCTGTGCAAATCGGTGATAATGGGTGATATAACAGGAATGCACTTTGCATTGTCTGCTTCATATAGTTAGTGTTAAATGAGAATAGAGAGGGCTTCATCCAGAGTGTTTTACAAAGACTACACTATTTGTACAAACTGGGTACATAAGTAGAAGGGGCTGTGTTTAATGTGAAGTAAATAGGTTTGGTTTATCAGGTAAACATAAACTCTTTTTTCCTCAAGGGTCAAACAATTATCTTCAAAAGAGAAAAATGCTGTGTGATGAAATATTGATCTGCCAATCAATGAAATTATACAGTATGATGGGGTTAAAGAATGACACTTCCATAGTCTTTTCAGTAGTTTATTTGGATGTAATACCTACAGGTTGAATGACTTGACCTTACCTGGGTCAAAACATGGGATTTGTTCTACCTGTAGTACAAAATAGAATCTGCTCCAATTAATATCCCCATTGTGATTCAGAAACCCCACCCAGAAAAATGCCAATTGGGAATTTAAAATGTAAAAGAAAAGCAGGTGAAAGCATTAAGTATTTCATTAAAACGCAATAGCATAAAAAGATAAACATCCTCACTGCTTTTAAAAGGAAGCTCTGAAAGAATGGAACAAAGAGGGTGATTAATCATGAAGTGAAAAGTCAAGCCTGGCAACTGAGGACACAGGGAAGAGAAGGAGATAACTCAGAGGAGGGGGGTTACGGGAGAGCCAGGGGTGAGACCGGCACAGCTAGGGAAAAGGGCTCAAGAGGCACCTGGAGAGACGAAACATGGTAAAATAAAATCCTGCTTTGAAAAATATGGGAGTCCAAATACGGGATCTGGAAGTCTGGTTGTGTCAGAAACCTTTCCCCGTGTCCTCGCCCCCTTTCCCACATTTGCCCACTCCCCGGTGTTATTCCAGGGCTTCTCAAGTTGAAGTGAATTTGACTTGGTGGCAAACTAGACTCTGTTGCTGTTATTCTGTCAGTAACATAAAGGGTAAAATAATTTAAATACATTTTTTTAAAAAAAATTAAAAATAATTTAAAAAATACAATATTGATATAATATAATAACTTACTGCGTCGTTAGCATATGCCAAGCCGGGATCAAATACAATTCTGATGGGCTCAGAAGGAAGGAGGTAGAATAAAAGAGACCCTCAGAAGTTACTAAGTTCCATTTATTCTGAATGTAGAAAAATGGCAAGAAACCTTTTTTCACACAAATCAAATACCAACCCCCTGGAAATTTTGTTATATATACTGTAGCTGTCTTTACAAAAACGCATTATTTTAAACCTCGTAAACGGAAACGGAAAATCAGGGGTGGTTTGAACAGTTGTGGCATGCCAAATGACCTGTGTCAAGTTTTCTTCAGTCTTGTTTTCTGTTCCCACCTGTGGTAAATATGAACTGTAAAGGGATTATAGTAGCAGATGAAGAAAGATTTTTTTTTTACCTATATCCTCTTTTCACTCTTAGCTAAGTGTTCTTATGCATAAGCAGAATGAGATATACAGTACATATATTAAGTGCTTTTCCCAATCAAATCCTTCGATAACTGGGGTTAAACATTTGTTAATAGTCATGTACTTCAAATATTTGCTCTCAATACAACATATAAGTAGGCTTTAACATTGGAGATGACATGTCTCTGATAATTGTTTAAAAATCGTAGATAGAGGAGATGTGTTAAAAAATAAAACACAAGACATCAATTAAGAGAAATCAATACAGCTACTGGACCAACATGAATTGTTCAATATGTAATCCAAGCATTGCAATTAACTGAAACAGAGAGCTCTTAATTTTACGAGAGTTTACCACATGCCAACAAATTTGTTGTCCCCATGTACTCCTGAATGTCAACAGTGTTGATATCTTGACAATAAAAACAGTTAAACAGGCTTGACTGCTGGAGAGAAATAAGCATGAAGCATAACTGGTGTGTAACATGTAAGTTGAGCAGTGCAAAGTTTCCAAAAGCCATTCATAAAAGCTGTATTAAAGAAATGCAGCCTGCAATCGAATGTCTTAATGTTCATCTTCGCTGGTTTTATGGGATTTCAGCAGTGTGCTCCAAGGCGTGTTTTGGAGCTGTGTTTTGGAGACCGTTTGTCTCCCTTGACAAGGGTGCTTCTGTTTGAGAACGGATGGCGACATGGACAATTTTAAAGGAAGGAGTGTCAGAATGCTTGTTCTTTGATGGTGTCTCGTTGAATTTTCGGAATGCATGATTATTTTCCACATCTACTGTATGTCTGTAATTCTGGCTTAGAACATTGCTGGAGTGCCAGTCGGGTAGAATTTATGGCTATCATATCCAACTGAAAAGAAAATAAATGATCTTACTCAAAGTATGGGCTTAGCATTTCTTATTTTTATTATTGCATGGTAGAGCAGAATGTGTTAGGTCATATGTTTGTGCAATAAATACAATACAATGCCAATGTATGCGTTTCAGAGATAAATCTTAATATGGTTAACAACTGGTCTGATGTTTCATTCTTCACTGGATAGTGAAAAAGACACATTCATTTAATTAAAAATGGGAACATACCTAGAGTTCTTTTATCCCCTGATAGGAAAGCATTTGAGGGCAATAGTAGACTGAAGGGTAGAAAAAGCACAAGAGGGATAATTGTCATGATTGTCTTACTTTGTGGATGGTGGGGGGGACCGGAATGACAGGTTTCCTGCTTGTTTGGCTCTTTATCTGGTGTTTAAAGTGCAAGTAGAAGAAGAGGTTTGCATTTATCTTTTCGCTTGAGCGAGTTTAATTTCTCTCAGATTAGGGCAGAATTTTCCTGAACGGCAGGTTAATCCTCCCTGGCTGCACAGACAGCTGAGCAAACAGACCCCTCTTGGACAGCCTGGGTGTGAAGGGAAAAAATGTAATTCGAAAGATTAATGTTGTCTTTCTTGTTTGCTTTGAACTTGACCCTCTATGTCTGTGATTTTCTTGTTTACAGCTTCTGTCCAGGGTCCCTGGGAGAGGGCAATATCGCCAAACAAAGTGCCATACTACATCAAGTGAGTACACAAGGCACCTACATTTGATTATTAATAAAAACACTATTTATTGGGGGCGTATTAGGCCATTAGATTAATCTTTACTTTAATGTATACATTAAGCATCAGCATTTGTGATGTTGCTTTGGAGAATGGACATTAAGAGCTTCTTACTTTGTTACTGTGGTCAAATGTGTTCAAGGAGCATGTATGAGTATTCATATTTGTGATTTTGGTCATTTGTGATTGCTTCTGAAATGTAATTCTAGCTCTAAACTAACTGCTGTATCGTTTGTGTGCTTTTATGCTGGTGTGTGAAATAGCACAGTGTTTCTGGAGGTACTGGTGTGGCTTATCAAAGAAAAAAACAATTTGAATGATTTCAATTTGTTAAACAATTTGTTTATTTTTCTAATTGCTATGATTTGCTTAATGTGTTAAATCAAGCTTTTAGTTTGCTTACTTACCACTTTAAAGAATTGAAAATGTCCTGTTTACAGCCTTTGATTTAATATTTTGAGTACATTCTCCAGGTGAAAGCTCCAATATTCAGGGCTTGACTCATTTCAATATAGAACTGGTATGAAACATTTATTTGTCTGCTGAGTTTAATATGGAGTTCTCCAGTTTCCTTTCTGTGGGTGCTTTGCTCTGTTGCTGCCGACATATGAACAGAAATGTTTAATACTGTAATCACTGCAGCAGCTATGTTGAGGGATGAACTTGTCAAACTGGTGCACACTATCAAACACCTTGGGAAATCAGTGAAACCTTTATGCTTTGCCCAGTTTGCTATTGAATATCTTTGCAACATCCTCACAGAGCGTGCATTACAGTACTGGATTTCTTGAGTGCATGTGCAGGCACAGAAGCTGATTAATCAATCCTCCCATGTAATCGGGATTCTATAATTGGTGTCCACCAAGTAAATCGGCAATGTAGCTAGTAACAGGAGTGAAAAGTTGGCAGTGAACCCACAAAGCTATAAATGCCTCTCATCTCCTTCATAATCTTTTTATGCTTTTCATTGAAACAAATTAGAATGGCTTTTTTTCCAACAGAGGCAGGCAACATGCATCTAAAAGGTTTGAATATCTTCAATTACATGAATGATAAACATACTGTACGCATAGCTTATTGTTTAAATATAGATGATGTAGTATCTATACAAGTTCACTTTTGAAAGACAAAGAAAAATGACAGTGTGCTGTATATGTCGCTATTTCTATAAATTATACCCACTCTGGCTTGTCTGCACTGGGGGAATGATGGGATGTTTCTTCACTGCACAGGTTTTGTGCAGTGCACGGTGCAGAATCACTGATGTGTCTCCAAAGATCCCTGTGGTATAGGAAAGACTGCATTTATTTAAACAGCAATTTCTTGCTACATTTGGTTAGGCAGGGGCAGCAGATTAGGTTTGCTGTCTTCTGTGCAGCCACAGCGCGTACCTCACATAATACCTCTTCTCATCACTGAGCTTGGGAACAGAGCACCAACTTCAGCCTCCTTGTGGTGTTTTTCTATTTGTTTTGTTTTACAAACAGCATCTCTCACGCTGCATGCATCTGAAGCTCTGGTATGGTTAATTATGTAGGTTGCCTCGTTAGGAACTGTGATGAATATTAATCATTCAGGTTTGTCTGAAAACATAGTGGTGTAAAACATCTGCATTATAAGGAGGACGTTCATGCAGTTCTTCCACTTGAAATGTCTCTGAGAGCACAGGCTTTCGATGTGCCAAGTCCAGTTTGGCACCATTGCTCTCAATACAGACAAGCCCAGATCCAGATCATCCACAGGCCTGAGAAAAAAGCAGAACTGAGCATTTGCCGTTGAGAATGATACTTAAAAGTCTTTTCTACTCTTGGCATTTTGAAAAGCTTTAATTCACTCACATGCACATTAAACAAAACAAAGCATTAAGGTGCATTAGAAAATTTGGTGTACAGTATATACTGTATATTATATGTATACTGTATATTGAGATACCAAAAAATGTCAAATTCATGGGTTACTGAGTATCCATATCAGCTGCTGTTTCCCCAGGATGCTGCAGTCTGTCAGGAAGTCTAGTTTCATTGTAGAGTAAAACATTCATGGGTGTCTGATTATTGTGACACATTGTCTTTTTTTAGCTCATTTTAATCCTTGACTCAAGATGACATGAGTGAGGTGTGGAAATATGTTCAAACAAAAGGGCTAAAGAGGGCTTTGTCCAGTTCTCTCTGCTTGCTATGTGCTAACTATGGGACACCTAAACAGATGGGGCAGAGTGGTGGCTCTGTGGCTAAGGATCTGTGCCTGTGGTTAGAAGGTTACTGGTTCAAATCCTGTGGCTGGCAGAGGAATCCTGCTCCATTGGGGCCCCTGAGCAAGGTCCTTAATCCCAACTGCTGCAGGGGTGCTGTATCAATGGCTGACCCTGCACTCTGACCCCCAGCTTCACTCCCTGTCTGTGTGTCTCATGAAGAGCAAGCTGGGGTATGTGAAAAGATGAATTTCTAATGCAAGACACTGTATATGGCCAATAAAGTGATCTTATTTAGATATACAGTCCTCTTTTCTCCTTCTTTAAGACTGGCCAGTGTCGCCTTCCCCGGGATGAAAAAATTGTTAGAACAAGGATTGTAATGGTGACCCTCCAAGCACCACATCACTAAAGCATGACATATACTACTGTACAGAGACAGCCTTTAAAGGTCCAAAGTTCTTATTGTTCGGAAGCTATTACCATGCAATTTTACCAAGTAATCATTTTCTACTCACTAGGAAGAAAACAAAATTGTTGCACAAATAAATTAGGGAGGAGATGTTAGTATAGCAGTTAGGGGCTCTGGAGTGCATCCTGTTCATCACACAGAGGCGCAGTGTGTGGACAAAAAGTTTGACATATACAGAAGTATATCTGTATATCTAATCTTTTGTTTTCTTGCCAATGCAGAGACTGAAGACGAAAAAAGTCCTATATACTATTTAAGCATAAATTACTATATAAGCATTAAAAATGTTCCCTCAAGAACCTTGGACTATGTAGGAATTTTGAAATATTGAATTGAAACTGCCAATTTGAAACTTAATGAATACAAAAAAATCACAGGAGTTGACTTATTGGGTGCATATGCATGGACAGACATCAATTAATCAATTTTCTCATTTTCATTGTAATTTTTTTACCACACATCCACACATCTTGGTCCTATGCTCATATACATGTTGTTACATGTATTTCATTTATTTTGCTGGGTTTTAAATTATTTGTGCAGTTCCCAGAAATCTCTATTACATTTTTCAACATTCTGCATGATGGAAAATTTATTGAAATGAATAACTGAAAAAAAGTCACAGCCGAAACATTGTTTTGTTTTCTTCTCTTTTCGGCATGGAATAAACTTTTACTTGTTCCAAAAATAACAATTTTGAGCATCTGTGACTTTGAGATAAATTGTATTATTTACTACTGTATTACAGTTGTACTTTGCATCTAATCAATCTCTAAAAACTTAAATATTTAAGTCAGACTCGCAAACTATCCTTTGCATACTGCATTTCAGCTCAAGACGTAACATTTGATAAAACTCAGATCTTATACTAAGATTGCTATCAGGTCATACAAGCAACTGATGCTCTCACAGGGAGTACATAGTGGGTGATAATGTTTTCACAACACCTTGAGATCCTGAAAAGTTCTTTTAAGTTCAGTAAGAACTGTAGTCTGTGTAAGTGAAAATAAGTACCATGTCACATAGACATGGGAGGCAGTAGAGAGCATGTAGACACTTCACTAGAGTCAAGCTGGTAGGTCACCAGCAGTGTTCAAGAATCTGCCTGAACTGTTGCTCAGTTTATGATGAATTCTGTGTATTGGTGTGTTAGATTACTCATGTGGTGGGTACATGACAAAGTTTGCTGAGAGGTGGAGACAAAAAAGATGGCCTAGTACTTACCATTTTAATTTCAACACACGGAATTCAGTTTTGACAGGTAACAAGTCTATACATTGACTATATACAGTAGTTTCAGTAGTTTAATTAGATCCTAATGAAAGTAAGAGAAAGACGGATATGTATAAAGTATTTGGTAAAGCACATCTAGGTAAGGGAATAATAGCCTGTCTGAGGCTTGATAAGCTGCCCAAATCCCCCCTAACTATGGCAAGGAATGAGCCAGGGAGCTGCTGCAAGGGTGTAGATGGGGAGATGCAGGGGAATGTGAGAGAGACACATGAAAGGAAGTCCTCGGGGCTAGATCTATGAGTAGGCGAGCGGAAGAGATTAGTATCTAACCTTCCTTCTGAATTTCCATTACAAGTTTTGTTATTATTCCATTTATATTGAGAGCCATTAAAAACACAACAAATTAAGTTCACCATCAAACTGTAGTACACAAGAAAAAAATACGTATTGATTTGTCTGAGACAGAAAAAAATGGACTACAAACAGTGCTCTTGCAACGCTTTAACGTTCAAAGCCATTATTAAATTAAAAGAGGTTAGATGCCAGACGGGAGCATTTTTTTCGGCGAATGAGTTCAGTCTCATGTGTTCTCCTTTTGCTGCTGGCAATGCTCACACCCCGCATGGTGTTGACATTACAAGAGCGTTTGTTTCCCTCTGGGAAATCATATCCCAGTCAATGTGAAGGGCTACACACAGCTCAGCAAGTATACATGGCTGGGGATCCAAGCAACAAATGCCAATCCAGTTTATCCCAGGGTGAGGTAACACACTGGGCATGCATGTAAGGTTTGTCACAAAGTAAGGTTTGATGTGTGGGCTTAGAATTTGTCTGGACTGTGCTCTCCATCTGTACTGTATTACAGCCCATATCATCACACCTCCACCTCTGAAGCAGTCCACTTGTGCACCCCTGCAGTCTCTCTGCCCACCTTTATGAGAGATTTTAAACATGACACATCACTGACCACATTATTGCATCAGTTTGCTTTTGGACACTTTTCGTTAGAATTTCTTTATGTGCCCAGACTCAACAATGCTATACTGTGCCAGTTATTAAGCAACAAGCCAGGAGTACGTTCAACTCTGAAGCTTTTACCCTGGAGCCGCTGTCTTACTGGACAAGAGCTGAGCTGCACATGGAAACATCTGGGTGTCTTCATGGCAGTGTGGGATGCAGGAATGTCTGTCTCAGAGAGTCCTCAGTCAGATATACAGGTCTTGCAATGGGATGGTGATATATCACTACCCTGGCCTCTCTCGGTCATGAGTTGACCTCATCCGAGTGTAGCTTACAGACTTGACGTTTTAGACTGTCCCACACCAAATTGTCCAGTGACGCTGAACATTTACAGTACATGTCTGCACTCCCTTTACACCACACTGTTGCAGTCATTGCATTTTGTTTCAGCCATGACTGGTGCATGCTACAGTCTTTATTGTACTCCTTTAATACAGGAGGTCTTTTACTGAAACATTTTAAGTGAATTACCTTTCTCATTCTTGCAACAGCAGCATCGCGTCTAGGATATCAACCCGGGTTTGAAAGATTAAACACATAAATATTACTCCAAAATGGTCTCGGGGCTCCTGTAGCTACTCAGAAAGCAACGCCAAGGGGAGGCACCAAAACAAAGAGGCTGAAATGGGTGACATAAATGAAACACTGTGACCAAACCTGAAGAAATCTGTTTTTAGTTTGGCAAAAATCAATGGCAGTTTTTTCAAGGTGGAGTGGGGAGTACTATAACAGTGTACAACAGCCACAGTGAAGCTTGGATCAATACAATTGCAGGGCTGCATCTCAGCCAAAAGAGTCAGGAACTGAGATAAAATTCAGGGTACACTGGCTGCTGACAGGTACAGGCAGATTCTGACCCTCCACGCCATTCCCTCAGGAATGTGTCTCCTAGGCCAGGGATTCATCTTTCAACATGGCAATGACCCCAGTTGTGCAACCAATGTGGTGAAATACTATTTGGAATGTAAACAGGCAGTAACGAAGGTGTCTTGGCCTGCACGAAGTCCTGATGTGTACAGGTGTTGTAAACAGCGTCAAGAAATAAGATCAGACCCGAGCTCGGTGGAGCCATCCAGTTCCAATGAACTGGAACTGGACCGACCCAATTCCACTGATCCAATTCTTCTTCCCCGTGCTTGAGTTGCTTGTGTGATAACCATGCAGAAAAGGGCTCAGATGCTGTGCGCTGCCTGTGACCTCCAGATCCCAGGACAGAAAAGATTTTAAGGAGAGCTGTAGCTGTGCTGCTGAGGAAGACAGAAACTCGAAACTGTCAAACTTTCAAAAAAGAAAACCGAATAAAGTGTTAGGAGTTTTACTGCTAAAACTTTTCTGTGGGCCCTGTCCATTTGTAACTGGTGCAATTAGATGAGTGCCGTGCAATTTAGGGTGGGATTAGTTGCTCAGGGCTCCCTTCCCAGCAAACACAGCAATCCCAGCAGCCACCCCGGTGCTCACAGGCCCGTGAAGCTGTCAGTGAGCGACATGCTTCTTCTGCGACCAGGGCTCTGTCCCACAGTGACGTGACTCATACAAACACGAAGGGCTCGAGAGCAGCTGGTTCGGAGCAGTCTGCCAGGGTCGTAGGGCGCGAAGCCATACTGTTCATCAAGTCGTGAAAACAAAAACACAATCGGTGGTTCTAAAATCAGGTGGACATACTGTAGCGAAACATGACTGGCCATTCTAAATTTAAATAAAACATGCAGAGTAGTCATTTCACATGCTGCAAAACAGGCTGCGGCACGTGTCTCTGACTGCTTTTACCTAGATCGGATTTGTATGCTGTGGCATGTCATATTTTAAACTAAGTATGCTGCTTATGACATTTTCATAGAACTGAGGGGACGCCAGTGTAAAAGTAAAAAATATTCCTGATGTCACTTTAAAACACCAGATAACACATCCCCCATAGTTGGAAATAAAAACTGACAAAACTGATCGGTTACTTTCTTTGTTTCCCATCAATAAGAAGGGACAATCGTAAAAGATAAGGATGTTTTGTGCAACACCTCACACACGAACACACACAGTAGTGTTAGACGTGCAGGCTAGCGAGGTAAATTGGCGTGTCTACAGGGCCCTACGATGGACTGTTGTCCCATCCAGGGTGTCATCTCATCTTCTGCTCCAGATTGGTCTTCAGGTTGCCTGGACCTTTACCAGCAATAGGTGTCTCCCTGATAATGGACGAATGAAATAAAATATGCAAAACGCTGTGTTATGCCACCTCAGTCACACACGTTTAGCTCTTAAGTTTTCTTTCACAGGGCTTTTTGTTTACTTTCTCTGTGTGCACACCTAATCAGCAGGCCTCAGTTGCTTATTTGATCTGGGAAGGCTTATTTGCACACCTTCTTATGCCTGGTACTGATTTTAAATACACCTCTTTCCTGGTGCACATGCCCAGGTTCCTTTCAGACATACCGGATTTTCTCCCCAGTACAGGTGGGCACCCAATCATCTGGTTCACAAGCAGGCTAAAGAAGACAGGATGAATTTCAGAGAGGAACTGGAACCCCTTGGAGTGTATTATATATAATCATGGCAGAGACAAGTGCCGTATTCCAAGCCTTTCAATGCTCCATGGCACATAAAAGCAATTAAGGTTATAATGCACACCCAAGAAGTGACTTTCCGCAGGGGCTTAGGCAACTTAATCAGATGTGATTTGCATAACTTCAGGCATTCATTAAAAAAAGACATTTTCTTGCTGAGGTAGCGAAAGTTTGGTGCTAACACTAGAGCCAGTTGTGGCTTGAAAAATAAACTCAAAAAATTACAACAGCCCACATGGGCACAAGGTGCAGTATCTGAGGGGTACAAGTAGTATAACAAAAAGGGCAATTTCCCTGTGCAAAACGTTTTCCCAATAAAACTACTTGATTATATGGCTTTAAATTTAAATGATTATGGCTCAAATTTGTTTCAGATGTAATAAAAGAAGGTGGAGAGAAACTGGTTTTCAAAGTTCTCTCCTTTCTCTTTTTGATGAGGGGAAGATGTTAAAGTGCTTGCTTTAAAACATTTTTTTCCTACTATGACGGTACATTTTTATTTTCTTATGTTCGTTCTTATGTAAAATGTCATCTTTCATAAGCACTCTGCTGGTTAGGAGAGAATAGTGATGTTTAATTTATAAGAAAAATGAGTTAAATAAGCATCAAGACTATTGATATTCTGCCAGTTCATTCCATGTATTGCTGATTCAATTAAAATGATACAGTTTGACTTCTTCTAACATAATGTGAACTCTCAGCTCTACTGAGTAGATCCCAGCTTTGATATGAGTCAAGGTTTCAAGATTTCAATAAGCCTTTTAAAAATCATGAAGTATCATGAGGATTGAATATGCACTATGGAACATTTTTGTATCCATCATCCAAATTACATTCTTTGTGCAGCCTTTATTGACACCTCCTTAGTTAATTGCACTTTGTGAGCTGGTTGAATAGGCCACCAACTGACAAAAGCAAGATGACAAAAACACATTTCATGAATGTGTAAAGAAAACATAAGAAAGAACAAAAATCACAGATCATTAAGTATTGATTATTGATGAAAATAGCAAATGTTTTAAAAAATATTTTTTCATTACATTAGGGATTTATGTTTAAAACATGAAAAGACTTAGCATTATGGATCATTATGCATTCTTTATTAATGAAAATATGCAGGCATACAATGTTAATTAATTTCTCACAAATCAATAAAATACTGCTTCGAAATACAGTACATGTTCATGTTTTTTTGACTCATGTGCTTTTGTCAGGGGGCCCAATACTTTGCCTCCATAACATTTGTCCCCAGGTCAAAGAAATGTTCAGCTTTTATCAGGCTACCAAATCATGTCATTACTTTGATTAACATCTTACCATTATTGCAGTATTTTAAATGATTACTGCAGTACCGATTCATCTCCTATTGCATAATACGTTAGTACCATGGTAGCTTAGTCATTTATTTACTGGCTAGTTAAATCCCAAGACCCTTCCTGGAGCTTTGTACAGTATGTGTAGGTTGTCAGCACAGGCTTATGTCATAGTTCCTGGACGCATATTAGGAAAATGCTTATTCTGCAGAAGTACGGCATAGGCCTTCCAAGAGAAACTGTTTGCTTTGGGACATTTTCTAGGACATGTTCTTGTAAGCATGTGAGCGTAAACTAACTCCAGTGTGCTGATAAGGTTTAACATCCTTGTGTGCAAAGAGAAATAACCTTGCCCTTGGTCTGTGTTGCCGTGCTAATCGCAAGAATGGGTAAACGGAGGGCTGGCCGCATGTCTGAGGAAACAGCGTGAAAACGTGTCCTTAGTACATTAAAAAGTTTTCATTTTTGTGTGCAGAAAAGAAAAGGGAATGAGGCTTCTACCAGAAAGCGGACCTGAAGTAATGGAAAGGTAGGAGAAACAGCTAGTGGAGTTCCATACATCAGTGACGTGTAAAAGCACATACAGTAATGATGCTGCACAGACCTCACAAACATGCTACGTATGCATGCAAAGATATACATATAGGAAACAGCCTAAGCCTGGGACAGCAAAGGGGAATATTTCTGTAGTGTATAATTGGAAATCAGTATAAATAATTACGCAAATACACAAATGCCTCTGTATTTCTAGCTAAAAAAATCTTTAAGAGAAATCTGGGATTTTCTTCAGTCTAGCTGTGAAATAAAAGGAAACAGTTAACACAACAACAACTGTGATCGCATTGCCAGCTAATTAATTATACACTTGAAGTCGTTTTTTTCTTAGCAATTCAAGAGCATGCCAGCTTCTCTTTTGGATGACAACATTTAATATTTATGGGGAGATTTCAATGTGGTATAATTTCAATTTGTCTTATTTCCAGTTTTCTGCAGTACATTGTAGGATCAAACTACTGCCCTGGCCTTTTTCCAGTCATTTTGCTTATTCAGACACCATACCGATTTTGGACTGTGAAAAAAAGTGTTTGCAGGGAATAAAAAATGGTTTGGAAGCAGATTGTTCTGTTTAAGTCATTTGTTTAGGAGGCAGCAATTGATTTAGCCATGAGGGGCACATAAATATTTCTGTATTTCTAATAATGTTTTATTTGGCTTTTATTTGTTTGATTTTTCGAGTTTATTGAAGGTATAAAGCAAAAAAACACACAAAGAGGACAGACAACAGACAACCATTAGGCTACATCTTCCATTCTATGTGCAAAAAGGCAGAAGAGGCCTGTGATATGCAAAAGCAATGAGCTATGAATACCCACAATCCATAGCAACTGCACGCTCTTTAAAAACGCCATAACCCTGGAGGGTGCCACTCGTGAGAGAGATCGACTCATAGATGAATTATGGGGTATATGCAAATTTAATTTTGATGACCCATTTTAATATTAGAAACGCATCATCTAAGGAGACTTTAAACTCGGCTTATGCAAGGCTTGAAATTGTTCTATGCCTGTTTAAATCTTGCTCATGAAATCCCGAGAAAAGCAGCACAGATTTCACGGTTCTATCAGGTCAGGAGCAGTGTGTTGAGATTGTGAAGAGAGGCTGGACTGCATTCTCAGACGTATGTGTTGAAATAGTCTGACCACATGAGGCTATTGTAGTATGCTTACTTATCTCTAGGTATTAGTTCATTAGATTCAGTTTCAACACTTATGTATTGAAATCAGCACACTTTTAAGTCTAGCTCTATTGTTTTCTGCAAGGTTTTCATATTTCTATTATATTTAATTCAACTAATAAGTACAGTTTTACACCTGCTATGGTTTCTGTGATGTTGGCTGTGATGCAATACCCATTACAGCACCAATTACAATTCCCATAAGAAGAGTAAACTTTCAACACCCCGGTGTCCTGGCCAAATTTCCCATCGGCCTTTATCAATCATGGCCTCCTAATAATCCCCATCTATCAATTGGCTTCATTACTCTGCTCTCCTCCCCACTGATGGCTGATGTGCGGTGAGTGTTCTGGCGCACTATGGCTGCCGTCGCATCATCCAGGTGGGGCTGCACACTGGTGGTGGAGGAGGGGATCCCTATTACTTGTAAAGCGCTTTGAGTGGAGTGTCCAGAAAAGCGCAAAATAAGTGTAAGCAATTATTATTATTATTATTATTATTATTATTATTATTATTATTATTATTATTATTATAACACTGATTGTATTTGAAGTGCACAACTTTTTATTTTTATGCTAGATTTCATATTCCAGGCTTTGCACAGGTGTCAGACAGGTGTGACAGGTGTTTCAAAAGGTTGTAATCACAGCCTTCGTCTCTTTCAGCTTCACTTTTCAGGGTGTCCGGGTGGTGCATTTCCATTGCAAGTAAAAGTCTGATGTAATTTTTGAATTACTGTACTAATTGTCTAACTCAAATACAAAAAATTCATCTGACAAATATTGTTCATAATAACCTATCACAGATGCATAGCAGAATTATGTTATTTTTAAACGAAAATACACTGTTTCCAATTCATTTGTAAATTAAGCTTCAGTCCAGGACTGTGAATCTTAATGTTAAAGTTTAATAAATGTTAATATAGAGATAACAGCACTCATTGAGCTTGTTACAAGGTGACACAGGTGGTAAAGCCCTAACCTTAATTCCTACAAAATCGGAAAATTAAGTGCGTTAGTACATTTAATACCAAATGATCCAAAAATGTTTTAAAAATAAAACATAGAAAGAATTGCTATCTACAAAGGTGGGATTCATCTGCGTGGTGCAAGGCAGCCATTATGTGCCAGTTGCCCCACAGTCAGGTCCTGGTAGTGAGTAAATGCATCACCAATTCCACCAAGGGGAAGCTTAGGTAGGTCAAACCCTTTAAGAATACCACACTCCTATCCAGGGGGAAGGGCACCACCCACTGGTCCCCCAATACTACTCGCAGCAGCAGCTTGGTTGGGGTTTGAATTGAACTGGCTTGGTGAATGAAAGGCTAGTGAGAAGCCGATTTCCCCACTGTGCTCAGCACCGGGGGGCTCCTGAGGGATCATGATTGAATCCTGGAAGCACAGAGCTGCACGTGCCTCATGGAAACAATTTAGGAAGTCATCTCTTGTAGTATGTCACTTTGTTAAACCAAAATCCAAACTCAATGTGTAATCATTCCACTTAATATATTAGGCATTCATTAAGAATCACTTACAGTACACCAGAAACTATTGCTTGTGAAGCTGCTTATAAAGACTGGTGTCACATCTCGGACTTCGTGCAACCAGCCTGCAGTCCCTTTAAGAAGGCGTAGACCTCATCCAATCAGATAACCCCTCATCCTACCTGTCCAGCACCGCACCTCCAAACCCCAGCATGCTGTAGGGCTGTCTGCAGTAATGGGTTTGCTCTCCCGTTGAGCTCTACTCACTCCTTGTGTTTCGTCTCGGATTCCGCTTTCCTGATTTTTCAGAATTACTGCCCTTTTGACTGCGGTTCAAGGACTTCGTTTCTGGCTTATTGCATTGGGCTTTACCGTATCGGCTACCTGGCGTTTCAGAATCCCGCCTTCTTTTCGCCTGCGATCTCTGGATTACGCTGTTTCTCGCCGTCTGGGAATGTTCACAAAAACGAAACAGCTGGTGGAAAGGCACAATAAAACTGCTCCACAAGCCTCTTACCTGGTATTGTTCCTAATATGCCCTGCCGAAGAGAAACAGTCCTGTTTGAACTGACGTCCCTGTCTATCCATCCGTTTCCTAACGGCTTCTGCCAGCTCGGGGTCCTGGGGGAGCCGGAGCCTATCCGGGCAAGCAGCAGCTGCAAGGCAGGGTCCACCCTGGACAGGTCACCGGGCAGACATACAGACACGCACACGCTCGCACCTCGTGCCACTTCTCCCAGAAGCCAATTAACCTACCAGTAGGTTTTGTATTGTGTGAGGAAACAGGAGCATGCAGAGGAAAGGCAGGAACAACATGCAGAGTCCGCACAGATAGCATCCCAGGTCTGGAACTGAACCAGCGCTGCAAGACTCCGAAGCAAACCCCTGTGCCGCCCTGTCCCTGTCTAATAACGTCAAATCGTGCAACTGTTCTACAGCTAAATGACAAGAAGACACTTGATTGCACCTCTCTGTGTTTTTATTTGGATTCTCAACAACCCTAATGTGAACCCAGGCCCCACAAAGTAACAGTCTGAAAGCCAGGGGGATTACAGAAACCCATCACATGAAAAAGCCTAAGAAATCAGTATTGATTTTTGCAGGCAGAAACTTGTAACATATTATTCAGAAACACTGCATAACTCTCATGACTTTGCTGTAGTTGGGCAACTTAATTAACTTTGTGATATGGTAAAAAAAATAAATATGGCAGTCAAAGTGACATTTTTGTGGTTCACCAAACAATTAGCGACATAACAGTGTTATTTTGAAAGGGTGCACAGTAAACTTTAATTGGGATGTCATGAATCAAGACATTAATTATTCTTCATTCAAAAGTTACTGAGTCCTGCAGCTTTATAAAAATTGAAAAATTGCCCTTACTTTATGGAGGCACACTTCATTTTTTAAGTGCTGGCTCTCATTGCTGTTTTTATTGCTCTTAACACTTTTCTGACAACCAAAGCTTATGTATAGCACGAGGCTATACACATAGTAATTGCAATGTTTTTGGAGAAACATCTACAATACACACAATCGTTTTAATTGAAAAATATGCAGGAAAGGCTTTATCACACTAACCCTGCGGTTAATATTTTATCAGGGTGTAATGGCATACTGAAACACTTCAAAAATGCATCCACAGATTAGGTGGGACTTTTAGAGATATGTATTGTTAAATTGTTTTTCCTATGACATTATATTATCATTTGTATTCAAATTGTATTAAGTTAATTACATGTATGCTATACTGAGTGAATGGGGATAAACCATTCGTTTTTCAACCTTACTTGTCTAACAAACTTTTAATAGCCAATACTGTACACAATATATCGCATGGCTTAAGTGGCAACAGTATGTCTACGCCAGAAAGTTAAAGGTCATGATTTTATTAGATATTTTCTTCTTCTTTTGCAGGGGAATTGTTTAAGTTAAACTTTCCCAAGTCTTTGATTTCATGATTATGTTAAATATTTACTGTGAATTTCTATCAACGTCACACTTACATTTGAACAGACCTCTTGTGTTATTCGCATCTGTGGTCCAGGAGCAATATTAAGACTCAGGAGAGGAAAATACTCTCTAAGAGCTAAAGGCCAGCATAATTTAGTGGAGAGTTTGCTGATAACGTGCTAGGTATAGTACTGCTTTCTGGTGCCGTAAAGTAAAAGTTTCTCATGAGGAGAAATTCCAAGTAGATGTTTTATCCTATTAGTTACAGGGGTGGTGCTAAACAGCTCTGCGTCTCTGACAGTTTAGCAACACTGTTCGAATTTTATCTTTGAATCATTTGTTGGAACAAAGCAAAGAG